TAATAATAATAATAATAATAATAATTGATATAGCGATTGAATTGTAAATAACGAAGGCGCATAGTTCGAGACGTTTAGTCGCGAAGTACATGTGGTCACGTTTCATCGTTTGTTTGTAAACAATGCAGACGAAAGAATGCCAAAGGAACACGTGCGGGGCGGGAGCGGAACAGCAGCTTATCGATACGGCGAACAGTGATGAGAAAACGGAAGCCGACTAGCATCTCATCCCTTATCTGTCGTTCCGAGGTCAATGGTCGAACCAATATCTTTTTAAATGAAATTCTCGACTTTCAGTATTTTATAATTACTTCACCATAAGAATTAATTAAAATTACAGATTTTTAATTACATTCCAGATTTTTTATGATTTTATGAAATGTTTAAAAATTGTAAATAATAAGAAAGATATAATAATTCGAAGATGTCGTTTTTTAATTTATACGTGGAGATTACTAAAAACTTCTATATATAATCTCATGGACTTCTTTTTCAGAATTTTATTATTCTCACTTAATTTGAATTACAAATTACAAATTACAAAAAACCATTAATTAAATTAAATAAATTCTAGAGTTTTTACAATTTTGTAAACATTGTAAAATTAAAAAGCTGTCGTTTTTTAATTTCTATCCGAAGATTCTATGTGAGAACGTCTATACATTAAATGTTATAAGATAATAGGAAAGAGCAGTGAACTGAAATTTAATTAAAATTTAAATGAACAGAATTTCTTAAAATGATGAGACAGTCACAGGTGCACAATGCACAGTCGGTATCTGTCTGTAAACGCTCAGATTATAGTCAGCCTGCGACTGACTCATATTGATTACATGTGTTTACATTGTTTAGCCAATAAGAGGCCGGCAATCGATCGACTGGCCACTAGCGCCTCAGCGCGCCAGTCTAGTAGCGACTGCCGTGCGCTTAACATCGAGGTCTGAGCGTATTAAGTCTCAAACAGTTTAATTAGTAGTAAAACATTTAAAAGATCCTATGAAGTTGCAAATTAATAATAACAATACTAGTAATTATAGAATTGACGATGTACGTTTTCAGTGTAAAAGTGATTTCCCTCGGAGGTGAGAGACTCCAATTGAAAAACTAATGAACTTTCATATAGATATGATATCTACTGTTATAGGTTGAACAAGCTGGCCAAACCTTTGTAGAATTTAGATATTGATACAGTTATATTAGCTCGGCAAGTAATTTCTGTGTTTATAGAAACCGAAATTATCTTGCCAATCGAATATTTTCTCTGTCCCTCTAGCATGCTCGATTCCCATAAATTGTTTAATGAACAATAGATGTTAATTAGAATAATAGAAGAATGAAGATCGATCTGTAGTTTTTTGATGAGTGATTTAAATTTGATTTGGAATTTGAAGGGAACAGGGCAGCGGGGCGGGTTCAGCTCGAGGCTGGAAGGCCTAAGAGGCAGCGGAGCATCTACTCCAGGAGGATACTCCTGCCTCTGATAATTAATAGAAAGAACAAGCTGGAGATCGGTGACTCGAGGGCGGGGTACGGCAACGATATGTTCCAGGTGCCTTTGATCGCCGCGGGGGACCCCAAGGAGGCGTCTACGAGCGACACGGTCATTCTCGAGGTACGTGAATTGTTGAGCACCGCTTTATTGTTAATAACTCAGTTATTATTGATCCTATCAAAAAATGTTTTATACGAAAGACACCGCGATGTTCTACAAAAGAGGTTCCATGCATTTTTCTTCTAGCTCTAATATTTAACGACCTAATTGCAATTAACGGCATCTCACATCGTCGGATATGCAAACTGTTAGTCAGAATTTCAATTTCTCCTCATCTATTACTAAACGGTTGGACCTACGGAAAGAATGCATAGGACGCATATTTTTGTAGCTGACAACTATGCTTACAACTTTCATTTGAAACATTTTTCGGCAAGGTCAATAATTAACGAATAATTAATAAAAAAAGAGCACCGAATCGTTTTTTTTTTTTTGTTAATTACTCGTTGATCAATGGAATTAGGAAAAAATTGCATAAGACTTTTTTATAGCCTTCATGAATATCTACAATTTTTGTTTCGAGAGTTTTTCGCTGGCAGCAACAGATAAACAGTTATTTGCAATAAATACAAATTTTGGAAAATGTGTGAAATAAAAGTTGTAGGTATTGCTAATGTCTACAAATTAGGTCCTATACAACTCCCTTCTATCTCGAATATTTCAGGAGTAATTGTCACGAGTATGATATTGTCCGCTGTTTCTTATACCGTCTATCGCTTAATTTTAATTAACTCATTAATTATTAATCCTACAAAAAAGTATTTCAAACAAAAGTTGTAGCTCCACCTCTGTCCTACAGATAAGGTCCTATACTATTTTCTCGTAACACCAAAATTTCCCGAGTAAACTGAATTTCCGTGATGAAACCCAGGTCGGGCTACTTGGTGACACGTGGAGATACTGCGTACAGAGGCAGCGACTCGCGGAGAGATCCGAGTGGTTTCGAGCTATGCTCGTGGGTCCTTTGGCCCCGGCGAGGACCGACCCACCGCCTGTACTGAAGCTTCAGCACGTCGAGAAGCGCGCCTTCGATCACCTCCTCAGGTAAGTCCTTCAAACAATAGATAATTTCGCGTTGCTCTTTCATTGTTTCCCGCAATTCGTGATCATGATGACGTCTTTATACGGTCTGGCATTCGCCGGTGTTCTCGCCTACCTTTGGATCCTCTTCCTAATTATCTTCCCATTGCTGGTCTGCTGCAAAATCAGGCTGAGACAAAATTCGCCTAAGACGCAATGCAAATGCCAAGGGCGTACGCTTCGCGCGTTGAATTAAACGTTAGTTTAAAAGAAAATTTCTTAATAAAGTCGATGACTATGCGAGTTGACTCACAGGTTACGAGACTCTTGACAGGACGATCGTCTTCGCTCTTCGTTTGTCTCAATTATTTTTATTCCCAGGTACTTGTTGGACGAGCCGATTAACTTTCAATCGGTGTCAACCGCCAGGGCGACTCTGGACGCGGCCCACCAGTATCTCTGCCCCGACTTAGCGAGACTTGCGGTGGAACATTTAGAAAAGAATTTAAACCCGGGAACAGTGTTAGAAACTTATATGGGATTGAGTTTGTACGCGAATCATTCGAACTGTGCCAGCAGGCACGATGCCCCTCCGTCTGCCCCGCCAGCTCCTGGAGATATAGCCGGAGAAACAGGTAAGGAATTGATAATTTAAATGTAACGATAGTGTTCGTTGAGATAGAATCTTTACAATTTTGCAAGGTCTATTCCAAAATTCATTTTCACCACTTAGAAGTCGATTTAGCTAAAACTGTCAGGTGATGTAATGAAAAGTAAAGAATTGAAGCTTTTATTTGAGCCGCGAGCGAAGTGAATCCGTTGATTATTAACGAAATCATTGACGGTCAAAGTTGAACGAGAGTTTGGTTACACGATATCATAGACGGATCACTTAATTACGATGTTTATCGTAGCTGCACTTTGCACGAGGCTGCTACACGCCTGTCTAGACGTAGTGGACTCTGAGCCGGAGGCTGTGTTTGCCCAGGAAAGGTTCGAGGAGTTGGACTCTGCAGAGGTCGAGGAACTATCGTGCAGAGACACGCTCAGGTACGATAATAATTCTTGTATTAATGCAATAACCTATTTATTATTATACGGTATAAGTTTCATTCCGTTCGAGAGGATTAATATTATACACGTAATTAACCGGTGGGAGGACAGGTTGACGAACGAGTCAGCGCTGTTCCGCGCGCTGGACAGGTGGGCAGCGTCCGAGTGCCGGAGGAACGGTGTTTCGCCTTCGGCGACGAACAAGAGGTCCGCGCTCTCCGATGAGGTTTGGTACAGTGTCAGATATCCTCTGATGACGGACAAAGAGTTCATCGACGGGCCCATGGCGAGCGGGATTTTGTCTAGTGAGGAATCTGCGCTGATCGTTTCCAGGATCCTGGGACATGATTGGAAGGAAGTAAGAGATCGAAACTTGTATGCAAACGGAACATCAGTTTAGTGGAAACAACTCGTTAATTATTATTAATCCTAGCAAGAAATGTTTTCGACGAAAGCTGTAACTTTTATCAGATTGAACATCGCAGCGTATTATTCAGGTACAAAGTTGCCTGACTGCACTGCCAAGATTGAGCAGCACCCCGAGGTTCGGCCCGAACCGCGACGACACTGATGAGGACGGCGGACCCTGCGGCTGGGCTACGAAAAGGGAATGTAGGGAGAACAGAAAGAACCGTAGAAAAGAATGCGTTCACCAGGGCCAGAGGACCTGCGCCAGGATCGGTAACTGCCTGGTCAAGGTCCTCGCCTGCATCTTCGACTGAGAGAGGCTCATAGCTAATTTACCGGATACTAACTAACCGGAATTTAATTAACCGGAAACTATATAAAGAATAACGAACATTTTATTAATCAAAACTTTGTCTCCGAGCTAATGATTGCTTGTTTTTAAACGTTTTCATTTGATAAGACTAATTATTATATTTAACGATGTCCAACGACGAAAAGCTAAACGAGGCTGATACTGTTATATCGTGTTCACAGTAGCGTCCGGGTATATGGCCACGCCTTGTTCAGATGGCCATATATCCGGAGAGTACTGTGAATCGCTTCCTGTCATTTTTCTTCATCTGATAACCGTAATCTCCAGATGTATGGCCACACCAATCTCGAATATCATACGTGACCATATATCCGGAGAATATTGTAAATCGGTTCCTATCATCTATTACTATAGATCAGGCATGGCCAAGTACACGTGCACCACTGTAGCTGTTCTCCCTACTTCGTGCAGTAGGCCCAGGAAGCCCTCACATTATTTCAGTATGTTACGTGCGTGCATCATACACACTATTAACCGTTCGGACTGCGTGCCTCACTCCGGCTCCCGGGCAAGGTCGTGTCGCGCGGCGACAACTTTGGCCATGCCTGGTACAGATGTAGTCCCAGGGTATATATCAGGTATGGCTTCAGAAGGTATACCTTCAGCGGGAGCCTAAGTGGGGATGTGTTAAGTAGTGTGAGCGCATTATGGTCTGCTGTGTTACTGTGACTATGGCACGAGGTGGGGAAAGCTATTGGAGTAGGGAGAAATGAGTTGGCCATTCCCACGCCGGGTCCCAATTACCACGCGCAAGCATATATCCGGAGATTACTGTAGACAGACGAAACCTGAGAGTAACCGTGCAATCGAAGGGCCTTATCAAATATCCTGGACCCTTTATACAATGTATTTTGTAAGGGATACCGATGCACCCTTTTCTTTTCACTAAAATTAAATGACCGTGAATCATTTTATCATAAACACATTTCGCGATTGGAATCAATTTTAAGGAGGAAGAAGAGTGTTCGGTTATATATTACTTGATGAAGGTTGAAAAATTGTTAATACGACTAAGTCATTCTTAAATGTGTAATCAATCTAACTCTAGTTATATCTATATCGGAACAAAAAGAAAATAATTGGATTTGTTACGTTCGATTCCTGTTTCAGAGTATATACGTTGCATTTTACATTTTATTCTATGTTATAAATATATATATATATATAGTCATATTGTGAATTGTGATTGATGTGTTTTGAAATTATTAACTAGGTGCGATTAATTAACAATTAGAAAAGCGTGAATGGAATCATGGCTGGTCCGTGTGAATTATTACGTTTTTATTCTATTTAAGGAATTAACGACGAAATTGAAGAGGCACCTCTCGCGGATCTGTTTTAACGATTATTATACGTATAAAGAAAGAACGTCGATCTATTTTTTCGTTGATTGAAATTTTTGGAAACGTTTTAAAGAGACGGATAGATGAATGGATCTTCACTTGAATACGCTTCTTCGAAAATTTCGTTCAACTCCAGCAAACAATGTTGTAACCGTTTTATGTTAATGAGATCCAATAAAATTTGTATACCGCTTGAATCCGTATGTCTTAATGAAATCTTATTTGCCTATTTTTCTCTAGCGTCTATAGTTAACGAGTAATTTAATAAACAATGACTTTTATTGCAAAAGTTTTATTTTGCACCCTAACGAAGAATGCTTCAAATAAAAGTTGTAGCTCTCAGCGTTGATTATAAAAAAGTAGTCGCATGCAAATTTCTTCTAACTCCAGTATTTAACGAAATATTCGAATTTCTGTGTAGACGAACACATTTTACACACGTGCTAAAAAAAAATCGATTAAAATATCTTAATGACACTTGATAGACGCTTAGATAGAACTCTCCTGGCGGTTGCTTCCAAGCTTCACTCAATTCCCTCGATTAGTGCGAAAGTTTTGAGAATTTTAATTTAAGTGTTGCAATCGGAAGGAAAATAATTACTACACTCTTAACTTTTTAATTTTAATAACATCTGTGGACCCTTGTGCACTAATCTCATTCCTAAAATCGAATAGAGATTCTCTCAAACCTCACATAAATGTTCACGGCACGCATAAATTAAGAAATAATAATCGTTACAGCCATGATGTAAAAACATAAGGTGTGTTCTTGCGCAATCCATTTGAACATCCATCTGTACACGGACATTTCCACTCGTTGGCCATTTTGGATTTCTAACCAATCACACTTCATATTAAAACAGAGCGAATTTTAAAATCGTAAACATGTCAAAAATTAGGTTCTCGGAGAGTAATATATATGCGTGTTTGAAATAAACAATAGATCATCGTACTTCCGATATGGCCGATGAGTGGAAGGCGCAAACAGCGACCCATTTGAACACGCCGGAAGAACACACCTTATGTTTTTACATCATGGTTACAGCTACAAATAATTACCGCAATCGTAATGTATATATGTATAATAAATCTATTCTTCTGTTTTCATTGCCCAATTGGCATTGATGCTGCTGGATTTTCACATAATTTTGACGTTGCAGAATGGTTGCAGAATGAAAACAATGTCAGCCTACGTTTTGATAAACA